TATTTCATCTCTACTTATTGGGGCATCCAATATGTCGAAGGCGACACCTGAAATATGAGTAGACTCAGTATCGTTCACATAGTCTTGTCTATTTGGATCCGAGTTGTGATCAGAGGTAGAGACTAGTGGCTGAAAGTAATTGAGCCTTTCGTCGATTTCAATGTTGTTGTTTTGACTATTCTTTGGATTTAGTGTTTTAAGTTCATACAAGAATATTTGGGGATCATTTATATTATTTTCTAGGTTTATTTTTCTTTTCTATTCCATAAATACCTTTCTCTTTTCTTTGCAAGTTGTAATATATCTATTGCTAGCTTTGTGATAACTCTCCAGGGATTGCAAGGTTTACATTTTCGGAAGAAGTTAAGAAATTTACACCGTTCTTTTTTTAAATGAGTACATTTATCGTCATACCAGATATTCGTATAATGTTTTTCAGAGGGGCGTATCCGTCTTTTCATATCCGAAGCAGCTAGACACAATGCTTCTACGACATAATCTAAGCAATGCTACATCAACAGATTTATCAAATAAGTCTTGTATATCATCCGATAGTGAATTATTTCTGAATTGCGACAGCATCTTGCTATTCCAAACAAATTTGTGTGCTTCATGATCAGATTTAGATTTACCATTCATAGTCTTTGGCTGTACTGGTGGGTGATGCGCACGTAAATCTAAGGTTAACGGGAGGTGAGAGGACTCTGCTTTAGGTGTAGCAAAATCTAGCACTTTGTCAAATAAATGTGCAGAAGCTAAGATATAGTCTACGACGCTTGTGCCATTTGTACCTATCAATGTAGAATTACCTAATTTAAAATCTTTACCACATCTGCCATTCATAATATGTATATTTGAAATGCTACATAAATCTAAGAGGCATCTACCGAAATGGTTGACGACTTTGTCACAGGAGAACCGTACCGTACTAGATTAAAATAATCCAATATGAAATCCCACATGGAATGATCTTTACTTTCCGCATGATATATTATGTCATCATCAACAAAGTCGGGAAGTGTAGCTGTCCGAGCATTAAAATCACCCCCACAAAGCACCAAGCAAATATATATCTGGTAGATCAGACATTATATCCAACAGTTTCTCTTTGAAAAATCAAATACCATTTTTACCATGTCCACTAAATTTCTCATACCAGAAGATCCCTCTGGTTGTATATACACACAGCTATATAAAAGATCTCTATCGATGTCAAACAGTGACTTCTAAAAAATAATATAAAAATTGCATTTTCTGTGATCTCAGTACATTTGATATATTTAGTAAGTGATTTTCTTACCATTACAGTTATACCACCAGAGAGTCTCCCAGTTGAGGCTATCTTGTCTCCATCTTTATTCAAACAATCAAAATCTGTAAATACGTCATTTGCACAATGATCATTACTCCAAATCTCTGTTAAACCAATGATATCAAACGATTTGATAAAGTTAACAAACTCGATGTCATGAAGTTTCTGAGTAATACCCGAGATGTTCCAGAATATGAATTTTATGTTTTTACTAGTCTTTCGCGTTGTTTACAGTGTCATTCTCATCCTCTTGAAGTGACCGACAATCACACACCCCGGATCGCACACTAGATTGCGCCCTAGATTGCACATTAGATCGGCCCGTGCCACACCGCTAACGAGGTAATAAATGTATAGAATAAAGAAAAGAATAAAAGATCTAACATCAATTTGAATTACATTGAATTGACTGTCCAATAAATAGTATCGATACTGTTATGTTTTGATGTGATTTATAACACATCAATTTTTTGTCACGTGACACACATGCAACTTATATGTATATATGTATATTTGTGACAACAAGCTTCACTGTGTGACTGATTGCTTGAAGCAATAGCCTCGTTATACGTCTGTGTGTATTTGACATTGTGGCGATATAGTGGACCACAAATCACTGCTGCTGATAAACGGTGCGTACCATTCAGTTTTGAACAGATCCCGTTGACCTTTACTCTTGTATCAAGCTAGTTTTTTGTATTTCCATGCACTGACAGCTATACCGATAAATAAAGACGCACTGACAGCTATACCGATAAAAAAAGACGCATTGACATTTTATTACCCCCTCCCAAGACAATCGCGTCATTGTTCGTCATGACATGTCAATGTTTGTCATGAACTCAGACGAAATAGCACCCCCTGAAGATAGGGACCAGTGATGTACGTTAATGTACGGAGGCTGGGGTTATATAGGATCACGTCACGCGCTGCATCAGAGCCCGTCTACAGCCGCGAGGAGTAGCCATGTCCGTCCTACAGTGTGTTGTAAGTAACAACATAGTCTTCAGCAGTAGCATGTAGAATAGTTCATCTTGGTTGAATAATATAACAGTCGAAACATATTCGAATATGTATGATGCTTTCAATATATAGTCATAATGTAGATTCAATGATATATTTATATCAAGAGCAACATCTCAGGACACAGGATCTTTCTACTATCAAAGAATTGCAGATAACATGACTTTTCCAATAATTTGTGTTAATGTTTAGTGTTGTATATTTGGCATTTATATTTGGGCGAAGTCGGATGATGAACTCCAATTCGGCACCATGTGGAATACAAATTTTGCCTTGGATTGTTTGCAGCAGAAATAAGGGACTCTGATTTGTGTACTTTTTACATGTTCATAATGGTGGGTTCGTGGCTCACATGTTCATAATGGTGGGTTCGTGGCTCACACTCCGCTGTGATTGTCAGATGTGGGGCAGATTGGACACGATGTAAAGTATGTGCAAGAAACCTCATCTAACAATTTCTAGTGAGGTTCGAAATACATACAGTCATCACAATGAAATGTCACCAATAACAAATTCATTCAAAGAACAATCAAAAGACTTGATAATGAACCTATTCATATCATATTATGATGTTCCCTTACAAAGTAAATAACAACAAAAATGACAAATACACTTTAGTAACACAGTGCACAAATTACCTGGGAGCGTAACGTCACAGAGTGCTACACATTAGTCCAAACTGTCTGACAAATGACGGCGTTAACGTTGTTTCATGGTTACTCCACAAACTGAATGTTTGCTGTTTTGATGTCTTAAACACTGCATATATGGCCCCATGAACCAGAAGATGAACCATGCTTCACACGTATACAGCTTATGTTTTATAGATCACAACAACAAACAGTACAGGAATTATGTGTAATGTGTCCATAGTGGTGTGTATATAGTCATAGAAGGTAATGCATGCTATAGGGTAATGGACAATGGCATGTACAGTCACATTCCAGGGGAGGAATTTCTCCAGTGTAGAACTTTAGACAGAGGTCCCCCAAATAATGATGGTGGTGTTATTTGATCACATACTATTACTCAAAAAAAGAAACGCATAGGCAGTTTGTATTTATAAAAATCTCTTAATTTCCTTTTGTGTTCATACAATCGTCACAATATGTAACAAAAGTGTTCATAACATGATTTTACACAATTGTGCAAGGCACAACTTGATTTTACCTGAAAATGTTGATTTTGATGAAATGTCTTACAAGGATTAAAAAAGGCATCGCCACAAAGAAACAGAAATCACCTTGAAGTTGAAATTGTGCAGGAAAGACCATACACTGTCTGGCTACAAAAATCCAGATTACTTTCGGAAATCGACATTCGTTTTGAAGAAGTTTCAAGGTCAAATCACTACGTCACGTCTTGACGCTGCGACACGGAACATCGCCAATGAAAGAATGCAAGCTGGAGATTATCAATCTTTTGTTGCCAGGCGTCTGAATGTTAGTCTTTAGCACGACATCACATCCTGCAGCTCGTTACAACCAAACAGGTATAACAAATGACCGTCCCCGTACAGGCAGACCTCGAGTCACCACTGTCGCCCAAGATCGGTACATCCGGGTACTACATTTACATGATCGTACTGCCACGGGTGAGAGCACAACAGCCAGGGTGCCTGGACCTTGGAGGATATCCGGTCAAATGGTACGGAACAGGTTGAGAGAGAGATTGGACTGAGAGCCAGGAGACCCGACGTCGGGACCGTGCTACGTCGTCGCCATCGCGCTCAAGGTCTCCGTTAACTAAAATTATCCACTTGGTGGAAAAGACATGACCTTCTTCTAAACTGATGTAGAAATTTATGCACTAAAGTCTATTTGTGGACGAGTTATGCATGTTTGAAAATACAACATTTTCGCAACGGATTTCTGGTCTATGCGTTTCTTTTGGGGGGATAGTATATACAGATATAACGACGGAGAGCAATTTGTGAACCTTTCTTGTCATCGACTCATCAAAAGCATGTGTTTTTTTTATCTAGACAAGTGTTTTATGTATTGACCCTACTCACCTGTTGACGGTGACATGGTGTGATTGATAGGTGGGCGTGACAGCCGGTGTGGTGATGTACACTGAAATCGACGAGCATGTCAACATGCTTTCGATTTTCTTGTCACGCTTATAAAATGCAGTCCGTTGTAAATAGTCGTTTTTCAGATAAGATGTTGACTGAAGTTTCAAGTTACGTTAATGTAATGATGGTCAGATACCTGTGGTAAGTATGATAGGGATATGAATCGGATACACGGCCCTTGCGTAACATGTACTGACATTATTTGCAGATTGTTACCATTTGCTGTGGGATCAGTTATGGCACGCTTGTTCCCCTGGTTCCATACTACTGGCTGATGAACCATCCAGCTCACCACGTCGTCACATACGACCAACCACTGTTTGTTGCACACACACCGATACATGTACAGCCAGTTGCGCCTGCAGCAGCACCTGCAGCAGCACCTGCATCGGCACTACAATCATCATCATCAGCAGCAGCAGCAGCACAGTGGCAGATACAGCCATTGCCACAAGATCCAACACAAGGCATTGTTCATGGACAAGCACATCCACTACCAGCAGATCCATCAGTAGGAATAGGACAAAGATCAGCACATCCACTCGATTCACCACCAGCAATAGGACAAGGAAGTGCACTACCACTAGACCCAGCAACTGCAATAGGACAAGGAAACATACTACCACTAGACCCAGCACCAGCAATAGGACAAGGAAACACACTACCACTAGACCCAGCACCAGCAATAGGACTAGGAAACACACTACCACTAGACCCAGCACCAGCAATAGGACTAGGAAACAAACTACCACTAGACCCAGCACCAGCAATAGGACAAGTAAACACACTACCACTAGACCCAGCTCTAGCAATAGGACAAGGAAACACACTACCACTAGACCTAGCACCAGCAATAGGACAAGGAAACACACTACCACTAGACCCAGCACCAGCAATAGGACAAGGAAACACACTACCACTAGACACAGCACCAGCAATAGGACAAGGAAACACACTACCACTAGACCCAGCACCAGCAATAGGACAAGGAAACACACTACCACTAGACCAGCACCAGCAATAGGACAAGGAAGTGCACTACCACTAGACCCAGCACCAGCAATAGGACAAGGAAACACACTACCACTAGACCGAGCTCCAGCAATAGGACAAGGATCAGCGCAACCGCAGCCACTAGATCAAGCACCTGGAACAAGACCAGCACAGTCGGATCCCTGTATGGTATGTGTTTTCATAAAAAGACAAATAAAGAAAAGTCACATTATCCTCCACATGTCTGTACGTTTTTGCGAAAGAAAACTAATAAGATGTTTACAAGAATATTACAAATCGCCATTTACCATTATCAATATATGAGCAGAGGCAACGACTGGTAAATTCGAGAGATTACCCGACTGCCTCGGCTGCTCCAATGGGCAAATCCTCTGTTGTTAGCAGAGATTGGAATATGTTTTCAAACTAGTAACAGTACTGATTGTTGACTCCTCAGTATCTGTACCAAACCTTTTCTTGCAGGGTGTCCGGTGTCCACGCGGCCAGCTCTGCCGCAGCATCAGATGCCTGACCCCCCAGACCTGCACACCCCAGGCTGAGTGTGTCCGTAAAGGTAGGTCAGATTAGTACATAAATATACCTTCCTGGACGAAATACACAAACATCTGTCTGGTGATTCTCTGAAATGGTCAGCGCTGATCGTTTCTCTGAATTGTACAATATCGCATTAAAACCAGCGTTTGCCGCTCCTAACTATAGTATGACCAGAAATTATTGAGAATTTTAGGAATATGTTTAATTAGATTTCTAGTATAATCAACCTTGACCAGCTATCAAGTGCTTGGTTTCATTTTCAAGAGAGAAAACTTCGTTAATCCTTTTTCATTAGTTTGTGAAGAATTATCCCCCTTTGTTTACCTGCTAGCAGACGATATTTTCAGTGATCCTCAGTATGGATGATTTAGAAAAGAGGAAGTTGATTTTAGAGTATTATAACAAGGACATCAGATCAGCTAAAGTGATTTCAAGTAGAACAGGCATTCCTTTGTCCACTGTTTATCGTGTTTTGAAAAATATTGCAAATGGATATGGCATTGAGCACCATGGAGGCGCAGGTAGGCCCAGAAAATTGACTGTCAGTGACAGGAGGCGGCTTGGTATTCTTGTTTCTAAAAACAAACTTAAGTTTAGAAAACTTAAGGCTGGATATGATTGATAGAGGAACGGTGGCTGTCTGTAAGGAGACAATTAGAACTAAGCTGCATGCAATGGGTTGGCAGAAAAGTCGAGGAATTCCATCACCGATTATGAAACCTGAACAAAAGGAGCAAAGGTTGAACTGGTGCTTACAGCATAGAAATTACAATCTTTATATTCTCAATAATTTCTGGTTGTACTGTACAAACCCGACCCGATCACATTAGTCTGAATCAAGTGTTAAGCGAACATGACAGAAATAATCCTATGAGTTCCTCTTAAGTATTAACAATAACGTCACTTCAACATTTGTTTTCGAAACTGGTCATGTCGCCATCAACATTCGATGTGTGCTACTGTATTTATCTCTTTCAGTGAGACGAGGACTTTGCCCGGTAACTGTGTATCACCCCCAGGGCACTGTGGTGTGCGGTCGATATCAGGAATGTACTTTCGACTATCAGTGCCCGGGAAATCTGAAATGTTGTGGTCCTTGCAAAGTCTGCCAACACCCAGTTGTGGTCCATTCTAAATACGTGTTTCTAGGTTGAGTAACACCTGACATCCAACACACCACTGGTGCAGACGGAACACGTCTGTGTAGCGGCAACTTCTGGATCACGGTGTATTTAGCAGGTAGTGAAGCTAGAAGGATGAGAGTGGCTAGTTGTTCATGAGACTTTCTCCTGTGTAGCCGTCTATAACCAGGACACTGCCGCAGCCCCAGGATGAGGATATGAAGTGACTGCGTAATAACCCGTTGCTATGCAACACAAGAATGTTTGTTATTAGTATGTTTTCAAAACTATGAAAAAATGTCATCAACCCCCAAGTAAGAGATTATCACTATGAATGTATTACCTGTGTTAAGTATTATTGGTGTTTTATTTACTACTGAATAAAAGTGAATTTGTCAACAAACGTGTCGGTCGGTCCATCTGCATCTGACAATTACTTATACCACGACAAGATCGTAGCAAACACACATCCATCTGTCTGTCTATAGACATATAGACACCTGCAACAAGAACGTTAAAAACACAAGTTCGTCTGTCTGTATGCCTCTGGCACCTATACATGTCCAATAGCAGTGTAACCTAACTTCCTAACCGGCAGCAACTGTCATAGAGTCATTGACGGATAATCCCTCACCGGAAATAAAAACTGGGAATATATGGTATATGGATTTGCACCTTACAGCATACTAGTAATGAAAAACGTTTGAGTAACAATGATATATGTTGTCCTGAAGTTTTCAACGACAGTTTTTGCACGGAACTGTACCTCAGAACAACAGGCACAATGACAGGAGGAGCACAACTCGGTCAACTTGGCGGGGTCACTTTTTCCTTTTATTGACGTAGTGAATTCAGTGGCAGGGTATGTTCTGATTGACATTTACTGAACGATATGAGGTCAGGAATATATCTGAAGATTCACCTTCTCAGCCAGATTACATTGGCTTTGATGTTCCCAGTCATTGCAGCAAGTCCAGTTATACCGATATAGAAAACAATGGCTAGGAAGGGAGCACAACTGTTCGCAGAGAAGGGAGGACAATTGTTGGCAGAGAAGGGAGCACAATTGTTGGTAGAGAAGGGAGCACAACTGTTCGCAGAGAAGGGAGGACAATTGTTGGCAGAGAAGGGAGCACAATTGTTGGTAGAGAAGGGAGCACAATTGTTGGTAGAGAAGGGAGCACAATTGTTCGCAGAGAAGGGAGGACAATTGTTGGCAGAGAAGGGAGCACAATTCTTGGTAGAGAAGGGAGGCCAATTGTTGGCAGAGAAGGGAGGCCAATTGTTGGCAGAGAAGGGAGCACAACTGTTGGTAGAGAAGGGAGCACAATTGTTGGTAGAGAAGGGAGCACAATTGTTCGCAGAGAAGGGAGGCCAATTGTTGGCAGAGAAGGGAGCACAATTCTTGGTAGAGAAGGGAGGCCAATTGTTGGCAGAGAAGGGAGGCCAATTGTTGGCAGAGAAGGGAGCACAATTGTTGGTAGAGAAGGGAGCACAATTGTTGGTAGAGAAGGGAGCACAATTGTTCGCAGAGAAGGGAGGCCAATTGTTGGCAGAGAAGGGAGCACAATTGTTGGTAGAGAAGGGAGCACAATTGTTGGTAGAGAAGGGAGCACAATTGTTCGCAGAGAAGGGAGGACAATTGTTGGCAGAGAAGGGAGCACAATTCTTGGTAGAGAAGGGAGGCCAATTGTTGGCAGAGTAGGGAGTACAACTGTTGGTAAAGAAGGGAGCACAATTGTTCGCAGAGAAGGGAGCACAATTGTTGGCAGAAAAGTTGGCAGAGAAGGGAGCATAACTGTTGGCAAAAAAGGGGGCAAAACTGTTGGCAGAGAAGGGGGCACAATTGTTGGCAGAGAAGGGAGCAAAACTGTTGACAGAGAAGGGGCACACTTGTTGGCAAGAAAGGGAGCACAACTGTTGGCAAAGGAGGGAGCAAAACTGTTTGCAGAGATGGGGGCACAATTGTTGGCAAGGAAGGGAGCACAATTGTTGGCAGAGAAGTTGGCAGAGAAGGGAGCACAATTGTTGGCAAAGAAGGGAGCACAACTGTTGGCAGAGAAGGGAGCACAATTGTTGGCAAAGAAGGGAGCACAACTGTTGCCAGTGCGGATTCCAGCATTTTTCAGATGGGAGCACAATTGTTGGCAAAAAAGGGAGCACATATGTTGGCAGAGAAGGGGGCACATTTGTTGGCAAAGAAGGGAGCACAATTGTTGGCAGAGAAGTTGGCAGAGAAGGGAGCACAACTGTTGGCAGAGAAGGGAGCACAATTGTTGGCAAAGAAGGGAGCACAATTGTTGACATAGAGGCAGCACAATTGTTGGCAAAGAAGGGGGCATAATTGTTGGCAAAGAAGGGAGCACAACTGTTGGCAGAGAAGGGAGCACAATTGTTGGCAAAGAAGGGAGCACAACTGTTGCCAGTGCGGATTCCAGCATTTTTCAGATGGGAGCACAACTGTTGGCAGAGAAGGGGGTACAATTGTTGGCAAAAAAGGAGCACATATGTTGGCAGAGAAGGGGGCACATTTGTTGGCAAAGAAGGGAGCACAATTGTTGGCAGAGAAGGGAGCACAACTGTTGGCAGAGAAGGGAGCACAATTGTTGGCAAAGAAGGGAGCACAATTGTTGGCATAGAGGCAGCACAATTGTTGGCAAAGAAGGGGGCATAACTGTTGGCAAAGAAGGGAGCACAACTGTTGGCAGAGAAGGGAGCACAATTGTTGGCAAAGAAGGGAGCACAACTGTTGCCAGTGCGGATTCCAGCATTTTTCAGATGGGAGCACAACTGTTGGCAGAGAAGGGGGCACAATTGTTGGCAAAAAAGGGAGCACATATGTTGGCAGAGAAGGGGGCACATTTGTTGGCAAAGAAGGGAGCACAATTGTTGGCAGAGAAGGGAGCACAACTGTTGGCAGAGCAGGGGGCACAATTGTTGGCAAAAAAAGGAGCACATATGTTGGCAGAGAAGGGGGCACATTTGTTGGCAAAGAAGGGAGCACAATTGTTGGCAGAGAAGTTGGCAGAGAAGGGAGCACAACTGTTGGCAAAGAAGGGAGCACAATTGTTGGCAAAGAAGGGAGCACAATTGTTGGCATAGAGGCAGCACAATTGTTGGCAAAGAAGGGAGCACAAATGTTGCCAGTGCGGATTCCAGCATTTTTCAGATGTCCTATATCAGATTATATCTATCATAATCATACTAAATCATACTACAATGTGTGATTCTGTACTTCAAGAATGGCTATGATGTCACTTGGATGTATTAACATCCCCATGTGAAACTTGCTTTACTGAAGTCTTTAATGAATTGCTGGTCAACTCGAGTTGTCTTCGCATGGTCAGGTGTTGACCACAGAATGACGCCTCGAGATAATCCTCTTGTGTCAAGACTCATGATGACAACGAGGCACTCCACTGTTGTCCAGGATGTAGAACATAATCTCATAATGTCATAAGTTGATGTTGTTGATGGATCTGAACTGGAGGACGGTACAGAAATGAATGTCTGAAAAGCCGAGCCATAGATCCTGTGAATTTATCGTGATTTCAATGAGAGTGTATTATCTAATGATGAGTGTTCCCTACAGTCTATCAGTGTATCTGAGTCGCGGCACTTCACCAGTCTATCAGTGTATCTGAGTCGCGTCACTTCACCAATGGAAACGCTCGTTCTGCAGCAGAGAAGACAGCTGTCCATTGTATGGCTTGTAGAATCTATCCAGAACGTTCCTTGTCACTGGCCACATGTCGCCAATTTTTCTACTTGATGTTTTACGCCTATTCTTTACCGCTGACGTCGCTATTGATTTCAGCTTCTTCTGGGAAAGTGGCACTGAAACACAAAATGGACTGGTTACTCGTTTAAAAAAAATACGTTTGTTCAAAATATATTTGTTCGTACATACGTATGAATGTTTCGATGGGGATATATTAATGTTGCTAATATACATGAAGGCAGATACGATGTAACAGATAAGGATACTCGTGGTGACACGTCAATTCTTTTATAACTTTGAACAGCTGGTCCCATGGATGTAAACTGATAATTATTAGATTCTTTCAGGCTTCATGATGTTCATACTTTCTAAACAAATGAAATGCACATTCTTCCTTGCTCTGATGAGATACCCACACAAATGTTGTCGTATTGCGGGTGAGTGAGTGAGTCGGATGTAAACTTGTCAGTGAATGAATGAGTTTCGTGTTGCTTTAGTAATGTTAAGTGATTAATCACGACATCCTAGCTTCTGCTCAGATAGTGCTGCGTGTCATTGCAACCGTCTTCAGACTAATGTGTGGGCAGGACACATTTCCGTGTCTTTGTACCTTCATCGTGATGGCAAATATATTTTTCCAGTTGTGAATATGTTTATGCATGTGTTTGAAATGTGAATACGGTCCCCGGTTGTTGTTTGTGATTGTTACGTTATTACTTGGCCAATTCAAATTAAACGAATGAAATTCTCACTCAGGTCTAGGAAGCTAAAAATTTGCTGGAGATGTTCTTCCACTTTGTTTTTATAGTCTTCGAATCGTAGGATGAGAATCTGATCCGCGGGATATATTTTCATCCAGTCCTTGACGAAAATGGAATATATGCCTCTTCTGAGATCAGTCTGCAACATGACACATACTCTGATCTTTCACAAGAGAAAACCGATTGGCGTAAGAAGGTATTGATCTAGAAATGTTGTTTCTTGGATTATATGTATTTTAACGAACATATTACGAGAGATGAAAAATCGATACCATGTGCCAGTACCTTTTTAAAAGATGTAAAAGTGTCGTTGTAAGCGCATAGCCGCGGCGTGCTGGTTTTGAGACAGTCTTGGTACTCTGCGACCTCCTGAATGACCAACTGGTGGAACTCCCTCTGGTGGGCGCTTTCTTTACGTAATCGCTTCACGTGGAAGTAGTAGGAGTAAAGTCTGAAACCATCAAACCGGGAGGCATCGAGAAGTTTTGATGAGCGTTAAAAGTTGTCTGTAGAAATGTTTAAAACAATTACCCAGGTTAGACCGGTATGCCAGATATTTGTGGATGTTCATGTCTGTGTGGCTCAGATTGCTTTTTTACTAAATCTCCGAGTACGAGTTATAAATTAATGATGGATCAAAATTTGAGCAAATATGAGATGAACACGTCAGACCATCCTGACATATGTAAGGGACAGATCCACTGTCACAGTTAATTAGGTTACAAGTTGCCCGTTACTTGAGACTCTGCACATGACGTCACCTGTCGGTTGGATTGCGGAGAATTATAATGATCCTTGTTTTGGGATTCAGGTGATGAATGATGTCAGCATTAGTGACACAAGGTTCCGAGCACCCCTCGTTGCCTGGCAACAGGTTCCAGAATCGATTCACGGACAAATAGCTTGGAGTAGCCTCCCCTGAAAAAACAATTAGTCCTTGTTTCATACAAGCATAGAGTTCAAACGTACTTCTCCTGCATCTCCATCAGGTCAGGCACAGCGGAAGATCTGTGACACTGTATCTCCTTCACTCATGTAATAGTTTGCTACAAAACATCTTACAAGACCTCATCTCTCGACAGCAGCGACTTCAGAACATTGCAGCTGATGTTGTAACGACGACCATCACGTTTGACAATATCACTTCAGCAATTTGTAACTTCATTCATGACTTTAAGAGCCAGATATTCGGCCCCTGGAGTATGAGTGTGTGCGGCTCTGTTCCCATCATGCCCTAACATTGTCGGTATAGAGAGCATGTTAACGATGTGGATTCTGGGGCCATATAAATGGATACCCAGTCTAGATCAAACTGGGTTTGTCTTTCCATTTTAACATTTATTTCAGAATTTGGAATTTAACAAAACATCACTCACGTACGAAGATCTTACAGCGTATACAGGTGTTTGTCCTATATAGACACAAGTACTACACATATCTATGGCGGCCTGTCTTGATGTCCACAACAGCAACACTATACATACAGTGGAAACCCTCTAAACCGGCAACCCTCCAATCCGGCACTAGAATTTGGTCCCAACAGATGAGACCTGTGATGAGACTGGTTTGTTTGTCCGTGCTTCCCGGATAAGACCCTATCCAAGACATGTGATGCAGTCAAAGGTTGTTAAGTCTCAAAAGAACGCTTAACTGTTCTTCTCAGGTTTAAAAGGGAAAAGTTCTCCAAAACGGGCACGGCCTCTATACCGGCATTTTTGCCGGTCCCAACGAATGGCGGTTTAGAGCGCTTCCACTGTATATTTTTTCGGAAATAACAGAACATGTAGTTTACCTATTATAGCTTTATGTCGCTTTTCTCGTGTGATCCTATTGGCGCTCTTTTGAAAGTAATCCACGTACGTGTTGAGGCGAGAACAAAACCGATCTGGAACGAAAACTTTCAATTATTGTTTATACCAGTAGCAGGCTCAGTTATACAGGGCTGTTTGCGACCAGTGAATCAGTATTGTACTTCTGGTAGAGATACCAAGTTTAATGTATATGTTAAATGTTGGACAACTGTTGAAATGTAGACAGGTACATGGGTGGATCCACCGAAAAGAAATTCCCTGAGGAGCATTTCCCCCTACCCTTTGGACTTCATGAATTAGGTATTCCCCCACATCTACAAACTCCTGGGTCCGCCCCTGAGATACTGACAGACTTACCTGTCCGCACTCGGCTGACCCACTGTGTCTCCTTCAACAGGGTGGGCAGGGCGTGGGGGTGTTTCAGCAGTTTACTGAACAGATCTGTTGTACCACACTTGGCCTGGCCTACTATCTGGAAATATGGTAGACATCTCAATACCCTCTTGTGCTTCTTGAGGTGTCTCCGTGCTCGGCCCATCATACCCCGTGGGTCTTTCCGTATGGTGACACATGTGTTGTCTTCAAGCGAAGTTTCCCACCAGCACGGGTTTTTGAAAGCTTGGTTGAAAGTTAACATCGACTGAAATTAAACACTGAATAGATGACGTGCTACAACATGGCATTATACAGCGTTATTCACTTTTTGAGGTATACAACGTGTTATGTGTTCCTTACATATGTATATCATCAAATTAGTAGATTAAATTGACCCAGATACCCTGCCCTCTAAAGGAAAGACACAGGAAATGCACTGTAGTCATAGCGACACAACATGGCCAGCTTGTAGCGGTCAAGCAAGAGACTGTTGTCTGATATAATCTAATAAATAAACCACCACAACTAAAACAATACCGTAGTTACACAAATATACATAGAGATCGTGACACTGCTGTATTTACGTAAAAAAAACATGGACAATATGACACTTCCACAACCACACAATGACAAACCACTGATGCGTGGCGCTTCCACCCTGTGTATAGAAGTGACAGGACAATAGACCTGGGCAGTTTGACATGGCCTGAGACACAGTAAGTGTTGGGTCGAAATAAACTAGTCCCTCAGATGGACCTGTTGTTCATGCGATGAAATCCACTTAGTCTAACGTCATCTAAGTGCAATCAGCATGGAGAATCCGGTTAACCAGATTATCAACAAAGCATTGTATTAGACAAATGATTGTTACACAATCTCAGTGTCGTTCTGGTCTTGTGGTGAAATAGGCTGGACAGTTGGCGAGTAATTATCCATGATGACTATTCTGTCACTGTACATAAAACCCTACCCATGTCGGGCACTGCGACAATAATGATGATCATAAACCATGTCTCACTGACAAATGTTGATGTCCGGTGACGTTGAGATGAGTGGGCTATGACTTATGACCTATCCAGGTTATATTGCTTTGACTAGAGTTATTATTGATGGGTGCCCTATACATCATGTCAGTACATTGTCCAGTATTGTGTATATGCAGTATCATTAGGGTAGTATTGACATATTCTCCTTAACAGTAGTCAGATTGTTGTGTGATACATGTAATTGTCCGAGTGGTTTGTGGTATGCCCTTTTACTGCACGTTCACTCGTGACAATGCCGCAACAAGGAGCCAGTACAAGTACACATCCAAAGACCGAACAGTCACTACCTACGCTTGGGGAAGATTTTGTCGCGATATAAATTAGTTGTTATTTAAGATGTCAAAGTAAATGAATGAGTGTAGGGTGTTTCGGATTCAGTCCTGTAAGCTGGTTCGGCCCATCATCAGTTAACAACTTGATACTTAGACTGCAAGCGCTACACTTTGTAAGGCATGTCCGCCTATTTGCCATGTGTTTCTTGAATCTTGTCACCTACGTACAGTACAACCAGAAATTATTGAGAATTTAAGGATTGTAATTTTATTTTTTTTCACTCATTACTCACGTATTAAATGTGAATATAAGTAGAACATAACTCCAGATTCAAAGACAGGTGAACAGTTAGTATTTTGTCAAGTCACCATGGGCAGCAACGCAGGCTTCAATGTTTCAAGTTAGAAAGTCGTGGTCCATGCTGTCCCAATATCGGACCACCTCTTCTTTTATTTCAGAAATATTTGTCAGATTTTTCTTATTTGCACTTTCCTTCATAAGTCCCCAAACATTTTCTATTGGATTTAGGTCAGGGCTATAGCTTGGCCAATCTAATAATGTCATATTTTGGGTCCGAAACCAGGCCTGTGAATGCTTTGAACGATGTTTTGAGTCGTTGTCATGCTGGAAAATCAAAACAAATATTCCATAGAACACGAGAGCAGATGGTAGTAAATGTCCCTCGAGAATATCTGTGTACCGCTCACTGTTCATATTCCCTTCAAATACACAGAGGGGCGTTGCCCCTAACACAGATATGCCACCCCACACGTTAAATTTCGGACTGTACTTTGGGCACTGATACAAAGGTTTTTCAGTTTGTTTGGTCCAGAATTTCAGTGTATTAGGAAACAGCCACACAGAACTTTCATCTGAGAAAATCACATTGTCCCAGTTAAAATTTCTATGCTGTAAGCACCAGTTCAACCTTCGCTCCTTTTGTTCAGGTTTCATGATCGGTGATGAAATTTCTCGACTTTTCTGCCAACCCATCGCATGCAGCTCAGTTCTAATTGTCTTCTTACAGACAGCCACAGTTCCTCTATCAATCATATCCAGCCTTAAGTTTTCTAAACTCCTTCGTTTGTTTTTAGAAACAAGAATACCAAGCTGCCTCCTGTCACCGACAGTCAAATTTCTGGGCCTACCTACACCTCCCTGGTGCTCAATGCCATATCCATTTGCAATATTTTTCAAAACACGATAAACAGTGGACAAAGGGATGCCTGTTTTACTTGAAATCATTTTAGCTGATCTGATTTCCTTGTTATAATAATCTTAAATCAACTTCCTCTTCTCTAAATCATCCATACTGAGGATCACTGAAAATGTCGTCTGCTAGCAAGTAAACAAAGGGGGATTACTCTTCACAAACCAATGGAAAAGGATTGACAGAGTTGTATCTTTTGAATGAAACCAAGCACTTGGTAGCTGGTCAAGGTTGTTTATACTAGAAGTCCAATTAAACATATTCCTAAAATTCTCAATAATTTCTGGTCATACTATACATTACTGTCAAAGAGGACAATCATTTAAAGGTAATAAAGGATTTCGCTGAGTTTAGCAAAACGAAGAGATGAGGTGTTTTGGGATAGATACATCTTATGATTAATAGAGACCTGTCCCATAAAAAGATTATAATCATTTTCTAGGAATCCCTTTAAGTATTCTGGGTAGCATCATGACTGGACCAACCAGCAAGTATGGCGAAGACGATAAAATAAGGATCGAGCCACACCAGCATGTCCCCTAACCTACTGTGTTTGTGTCCGCCGTTAGACATCTACCTACACCACCTGTTGGACAGTCTCATGTCATAACGATGACCGTGTTCCCATCGAACACATATCTCCTACCTCCCCAGTACTACCTAGCTCTATCAAAGTTGGATGCTGTTCGATGCATGTTGACGTTTTCATCCAGCTACTTACATGTTGTTCCAACTGTCAGAAGTTTGGCTACGGATAAAAGTCTCACATGCTTACTTGCTACAGAAGTGGGGACTTTGAGCATGACAAGACATGCACCAGCGAGATCAAGTGCTTGCATTGACTGACTGACTGACTGAGTTTAGTTTTACGCCGCTTTTAGCAATATTCCAGCAACATCACGGAGGGGGACACCTGAAATGGGCTTCACACATTGTACCCATGTGGGGCTTTAACCACTAAGCTACCCCACCGCCCTGCTTGCATTGAAAAGGCGACTATATGTCTTCTTCAACGTACTGCTCAGTGTGGAAGTATGAGGCCACTATTCAAACAAATTAAATGCGAGAAAAGAGACAGCTACAATGAAGTAAGAAAACAAGCTCGTCTACTCACACCTGATAATTATGAATATCATAACGAATCATTTTCCTTGACTGAATTACGTGAAACTTTAAACAAAGCTACAGCGTCTCGGCCAGATGCCATTGATAAGCAATTATTAAAGCATATCCTAGAATCTTCTCTTTTAGGTCTGCTATATATTGTTAACAATATTTAGGAAACGGTTAATGTTCCTTCTCCCTGGCACGAAGCTATTATCATTCCTATCCCCAAACCAGGTAAGGATCATACCAATATCCATCTAACTGTCGACCAATGGCGTTAACTAGCTGTGTTTGTTAAGCTGTGGAGCGAATAGCCGCCTCCGTGAAGATCCAGTTTAGAATTAATTGGTCCATGTAAGAGGCGACTAACGGAATCGGGTTGTCAGACTCGCTGACTTGGCTGACACGTGTCATCGTATGCCAACTAAGTAGATCGATGCTTATGATGTTGATCACGGGATTGTCTGATCCAGGCTCGATTATTTACATACCGCCGCCATATACCTGAAATATTGCTTAGTGCTGCTTTAACAACATCCAAACCAAACCAAAACCTTGTCTGGTATCTGGAAGTACATAGATTGATAAGATGTGAGATTGGAATCGTTTGTCCGAAGTGTTTTTTTAATAAACAATATGTCTTATCCATATGTTTTACTTGGAGAAAGCCTATGATACGACATGGAATTAGTGGCTTCTGAAAGATCTGCATGATATGGGTCTTCGAGGCAGAGTGAGATCACGGTGGGGTCCACATTTGCTGCTATATTTGGTTAGGAAATGGCAGCACCTCAAGGTAACATTTTGTCAGTTACTGTATTTAACATCCACACTCGCTGTATAACATGTATACAGTGTTTGACGTTGCAGTGTTCGACTTGGCTTGTGAATGGCGCGTACATGCTGGTGGTCTTACCATGTTCATGATGTCCAGCTCCTTCCGTGTCTGTAGATCATACAAATGGGGCGCCACAAACTTTGGCACAGCATGACCATGGTTTGACCTCTGTCCAGATCTCTGCCCTGATCTCTGCCTTGACATCTGTCCTGTAAGTGTAGCAAACGACATACCGTGGGTGAATACATCGGACCAAAGTACAACTCCCACCACGGAGAGGAGCGAGAGGAGGACCAGGCATGTCGTAGCGACGCGCACTATACCCAGCATGGTGAGATACTGTGGACATCACTACGTCGGCGTGTACTTTACTCCAGCTTATCCAACAGATGGTGCTGTATCAGGATCGATAATACCAATCAATATGACACATCGCGTTTTTACCTCATTATACAGACGATGCCTTCACTCTAAACAAACGAAAGTGAACACACTTGTGTTCATATATCCATACTATTTGCAACCGTTCATACAACAACCCCCGTTATTTTGCTCATGGACACAATTAAACATAAACCTGATATCAGGTTTTAATTTGTTTCCAAGCGTGTCAATGAAATATTTTACCACAGTGTTACAATCATACGATGACATCACCCATGCTATTGTGTTACAGGTTTATAGATGCTATATGTAATGTAAATGTATATGTAATTATTTTGTTGAAACCATCTGCATCAATCCATATATTTACACATCAACACCCGGTTGTGGTCCTGTCATATATAATGGACCCAGATCCATCCAAGGACCGCACATACCCACGTCAAATGTTACACCTGTAGCAGACCCACACACACCAAGTCCCCGCCCCCACAAACCACGAACAGTGAAGGCGGGGATGCCACCGTGACACTCTCTCCTTACCTACCTTCCTGTCGCATTTCCATCACTCACAGCGGTAACAATGGCCTTCCTCCTCCGCCGTCAGTCCAGATCAGTGAAACCTCTACTAATACACAACCCCAGCAGACTGGAGACACAGTAGAAGGAAATGAACATTCTTGCCACAATCAGACGAAACCTGTGCTAAAAGTACGGTAACACCAAGGCACTCATCATAGCATAGAGCATCAAAACATAGAGCATCATAACAAAGACACTATGTACCTTTTATGCAGACACATAGTCAATTACTCCACGGCCGAAAGTAACGATCGGAACCTAAACATATCTTTTTAATGCAATGTTCTGATCCTAAAATACATCCTCACAGATGTCTCCGTGCACGACGCATCGCCCACGTTCGGTCCACACGTCGCGATCAATGCAACAAACTCCCTGAACGACTGAGTACATAGAATGTGTTTGTTCAAAATAAAACATATATTCGACATTGTGTCCAATAAAAAACGTTGGGAAAAACAAGTTCACCAGTGTTCACCCTGGTAGCCGGTTCAGTCTGCACTTTATCCGAAGGTCGTGCTACAATATAGGACTGAAAGAAAAGCACACTTAAGTATATATTTATCATATTTTGTGTCAGTGTATATCATTTCTATTTCGAGGAGTACCTTGTCTTCCCTTGCTGTGAAGGTGACAACAGACTTGTCTACCCTTGCTGTGAAGGTGACAACAGACTTGCCTTCCCTTGCTGTGAAGGTGACAACAGACTTGTCTTCCCTTGCTGTGAAGGTGACAACAGACTTGTCTTCCCTTGCTGTGAAGGTGACAACAGACTTGTCTTCCCTTGTTGTGAAGGTGACAACAGACTTGCCTTCCCTTGCTGTGAAGGTGACAACAGACTTGTCTTCCCTTGCTGTGAAGGTGACAACAGACTTGTCTTCCCTTGAGGTGAAGGTGACAACAGACTTGCCTTTGCGTGTGTTTATGACGGATACCCACTCGCGCACATCAGTCCTGTCAGCAGATATGTTCTGAGTATATGGAAATGGTCTTCTATTCTTCTGTGTCTGACAATTGTCGGGAAAGAACTAGTTGTCTATTATTGGTAGGCTCCACGGTGAAGTTGTTCTTTAATCTGTCATTTAAATCACAGGTGTATATTTTGGGTCTTTGAAACATCATATTGACCAATCAGAGTCGAACATTGTAATTTCATGCTAGACGTATAGGTCAGCATTTTAGTTATAGCACGGGGTCTATCGTGTTGATTACCAGAGTAAAAACACAACGCCATTATCTTTCCGTGGTACTATATTATTATCTCCCATTGAACATCTTGGCTAAAGTGTACCCCGAAAGTCGTCTTCAATTCATGGCTGAAAAACTCAACCTGTTGATACCCGTTGATACCTGGTAACGCCATATGTTCTTGAATTCTGTATCACCAAACCCAAGCGATGAAACTGAAAGGTAAGCCGAAGGTCATCACAGTGTGGCGGGACTCATACATGTCATCATTCTACATGATGATGACTGCCATTGTGAAACCCGACTCAGGTTCGCCAGCCGCTTGTAGCCAGCTGCTGACTCTTGCACTACTCATGCCTCTGAACATCCCTGCTGCCTCAGCTCAGCAGCACTATCCTGAAGCACAGAGAAGGGTCCGTCAACCATGGAGGTAATGGACTACTGGCCCCTGCTACACATACAGAACAGAACATGCAAGAATTTCATCTTCTACGATTTCGTAAATATATTTAAAATTTATTTGTATCCAAAACGAACCATCGTTTACCTACATGTTAACAGCGAAACAGGTAACCTGTCAGTCAGCCAAAGATACTCGTCTGAGACTCGAAACACGGCTGGCTAAATGTCTAACGGCTTTGGGATGGAATTTGAAGCCGAAGAGTAATGAAGGTCCTACACTGTACTGACCTTGCCTCTAGACAAGGCTACTGTTGGACAATAGTAACCCAACTTTTACGTTTCTCCCCAGCGACCACACAGACCCTGCCACTTCCTCAACCGCTACCTCAATCTAGGGTCTTGTCTCCCGACAACTGACGGCTAACGGTATCCCGTGTACCTGCCCCTTCAACCCCGACAGGCTTCACATGTCCCCCGACAACTGACGGCTAACTGTATCCCGTGTACCTGTCCCTTCAACCCCGACAACTGACGGCTAACGGTATCCTGTGTACATGCCCCTTCAACCCCGACAGGCTCCACATGTCCCCCGACAACTGACGGCTAACGGTATCCCGTGTACCTGCCCCTTCAACCCCGACAACTGACGGCTAACGGTATCCCGTGTACCTGCCCCTTCAACCCCGACAACTGACGACTAACGGTATCCCGTGTACCTGCCCCTTCAAGCCCGACAACCGACGGCTAACGGTATCCCGTGTACATGCTCCTTCAACCCCGACAGGCTCCACATGTCCCCCGGCAACTGACGCCTAACGGTATCCCGTGTACCTGATCCTTCAACCCCGACAACTGATGGCTAAGGGTATCCCGTCTACCTGCTCTTTCAACCCCGACAACTGACTACTAACGGTTTCCCGTGTACCTGCGCCTTCAACCTTGACAACTGACGGCTAACGGTATCCCGTGTACCTGCCCCTTCAACCCCGACAACTGACGGCTAACGGTATCCCATGTACCTGCCCCTTCAACCCCGACAACTGACGGCTAACGGTATCCCGTGTACCTGATCCTTCAACCCCGATAGCTCCATCCCGTGTACCTGCGTATGTCCCCGACAACTGACGGCTAATGGTATCCCATGTGTACGTGTCCCTTCAACCCCGACAACTGATGACTAATGGTATCCCGTGTACCTGCCCTTCAACCCCCCATGTACCTGCCCTTTCAACAACTGACTACAACTGAGGCTAGCGATATCCGACTAACGGTATCCCGTGTACCTGCCCCCTTCAACCCCAACTGACAGGCTCCACATGTCCCCGACAACTGACGGCTAACGGTATCCCGTGTACCTGCTCTTTCAACCCCTGACAGGCTCCACATGTCCCCGACAACTGACGGCTAACTGTATCCCGTGTACCTGTCCCTTCAACCCCGGACCACTGATCCGGCTAACGGTATCCCCGACAGCCTGTACCTGCCCCCTTCAACCCCCGACAACTGAAGGCTAACGGTATCCCGTGTACCTGCCCCTTCAACCCCGACAACTGACGACTAACGGTATCCCATGTACCTGCCCCTTCAACCCCGGCTGACTACAACTGACGACTAACGGTATCCCGTGTACCTGCCCTTCAACCCGACAACTGAAGGCTAACGATATCCCGTGTACCTCATCCTTCAACCCCGACAACTGACGACTATCGGTATCCCGTGTACCTGCCCCTTCAACCCCGATAACTGACGGCTAACGGTATCCCGTGTACCTGCCCCTTCAACCCCGACAACTGACGGCTAACGGTATCCCGTGTACCTGCCCCTTCAAGCCCGACAACCGACGGCTAACGGTATCCCGTGTACATGCTCCTTCAACCCCGACAGGCTCCACATGTCCCCCGGCAACTGACGCCTAACGGTATCCCGTGTACCTGATCCTTCAACCCCGACAACTGATGGCTAAGGGTATCCCGTCTACCTGCTCTTTCAACCCCGACAACTGACTACTAACGGTTTCCCGTGTACCTGCGCCTTCAACCTTGACAACTGACGGCTAACGGTATCCCGTGTACCTGCCCCTTCAACCCCGACAACTGACGGCTAACGGTATCCCATGTACCTGCTCCTTCAACCCCGACAACTGACGGCTAACGGTATCCCGTGTACCTGATCCTTCAACCCCGATAGCTCCACATGTCCCCCGACAACTGACGGCTAATGGTATCCCGTGTACGTGTCCCTTCAACCCCGACAACTGATGACTAATGGTATCCCGTGTACCTGCCCCTTCAACCCCGACAACTGACAGCTAACGGTATCCCGTGTACCTGCCCCTTCAACCCCGACAGGCTCCACATGTCCCCGACAACTGACGGCTAACGGTATCCCGTGTACCTGCTCTTTCAACCCCGACAGGCTCCACATGTCCCCCGACAACTGACGGCTAACTGTATCCCGTGTACCTGTCCCTTCAACCCCGACCACTGACGGCTAACGGTATCCCGTGTACCTGCCCCTTCAACCCCGACAACTGAAGGCTAACGGTATCCCGTGTACCTGCCCCTTCAACCCCGACAACTGACGACTAACGGTATCCCATGTACCTGCCCCTTCAACCCCGACAACTGACGACTAACGGTATCCCGTGTACCTGCCCCTTCAACCCCGACAACTGAAGGCTAACGATATCCCGTGTACCTCATCCTTCAACCCCGACAACTGACGACTATCGGTATCCCGTGTACCTGCCCCTTCAACCCCGATAACTGACGGCTAACGGTATCCCGTGTACCTGCCCCTTCAACCCCGACAACTGACGGCTAACGGTATCCCATGTACCTGCCCCTTCAAGCCCGACAACCGACGGCTAACGGTATCCCGTGTACATGCTCCTTCAACCCCGACAGGCTCCATGTCCCCGGCAACTGACGCCCTAACGGTATCCGTGTACCTGATCCTTCAACCCCGACAACTGATGGCTAAGGGTATCCCGTCTACCTGCTCTTTCAACCCCGACAACTGACTACTAACGGTTTCCCGTGTACCTGCGCCTTCAACCTTGACAACTGACGGCTAACGGTATCCCGTGTACCTGCCCCTTCAACCCCGACAACTGACGGCTAACGGTATCCCATGTACCTGCTCCTTCAACCCCGACAACTGACGGCTAACGGTATCCCGTGTACCTGATCCTTCAACCCCGATAGCTCCACATGTCCCCCGACAACTGACGGCTAATGGTATCCCGTGTACGTGTCCCTTCAACCCCGACAACTGATGACTAACGGTATCCCGTGTACCTGCCCCTTCAACCCCGACAACTGACAGCTAACGGTATCCCGTGTACCTGCCCCTTCAACCCCGACAGGCTCCACATGTCCCCCGACAACTGACGGCTAACGGTATTCCCTGTCCCTGCCCCTTCAACCCCGACAGCTCCACATGTCCCCCGACAACTGACTACTAACGGTATCCCGTGTACCTGCTCTTTCAACCCCGACAACTGACGGCTAACGGTATCCCGTGTACCTACCCCTTCAATCCCGACAGGCTCCACATGTCCCCAACAACTGACGGCTAACGGTATCCTGTGTCCCTGCCCCTTCAACCCCGACAGGCTCCACATGTCCCCCGACAACTAACGGCTAACGGTATCCCATG